TGTGTGTGTGTGGTGTGTGTGTGTGTGTGTGTGTGTGTGTGTGTGTGTTGTGTGTTGCGTGTGTGTGTGTGTGTGTGTGCGTGTGTGTGTGTCCTGTGTGTGTGTTTATCTGTGTGTTTTGGTCTGTGTGTATTTGCCTGTCTGTATATATATATATTTATATATATAGTATTATATATATATATATATATATATATATATATATATATATATATATATAGATAGATAGATAGATAGATAATATATAATGGTATATCTATATTATATATATATATATTATATATATATATATAGATAATATATATATATATATATATATATATATATATATACAGTATATATAATATATATATATATTATATATATATATATATATATATATATATATATATATATGTATATATATATATATATGTATATATGTGTGTGTGTGTGTGTGTGTGTGTGTGTGTGTGTGTGTGTGTGTTGTGTGTGTTTGTGTGTGTGTGTGTGTATGTGTGTGTGTGTGTGTGTGTGTGTGTGTGTGTGTGTGTGTGTACGTGTGTGTGCGTATGCGTGTGCGTGTACATGCACGTGTGTGCTCTTGCATGCTTATACAAATGCTTCCACGGAGAGAGTGTAAAGAGAAACCATCAGAAGATTATGCAACATATTTACGTCAACGCCCACACGCGGGGAAGAAGCGAGCGTTGTCAAGGGCGTGTCAGGTTCATGGGCGTGACAACATATGCATGCGTGCGTGTATATGGGCGTTAGTATAAAAGCGGCGTGGGTGTACGTAGAGGCACCATAGCTCACTCGCCTTCCATAGGTATTGCCTTCCTTCCGCCCCCCGAGTCATCAGCTAAAATGTTCGCTCGTGCCTGCTTGCTCGTAAGTAAACGGAGTTCGTTTTGCTTTTATTTGTTTATTATTATTATCATCTTTATTTATTTATTTATTTATCTATTCATTCATTTTTGGAATTTGTTGTGCTGGTGCTAACAAGACAATCTTTAATGTAGATACAATTATAATGATGCTTTTCATTATAATGGAATGGAGATATTTGGATTGATATCTGTTATTCTCATAGCTGACATCTTCATGGACGTTGCCAGAATCACCATTATCAATAGCATTATGATAACCCACATCATTGCATAAATGAAAATGAGAGTTATAATACCAGGTCCGATTACAATGCTAAAACAATATAACAATGATAACAAAAGCAACAACAGTACCAAAGTTACACCAGAAACTGATGGCAAATATCAAAAGAAGAAATTAGGCAATTTGTATGTCTTTCTCACAGATCAAGGCATCAATTGTCTTGATCTAAATTATAATTTCTCTCTCGCTCTCTTTAATGCGCCTTTCTATCAAACTATATTTTTTACATCGCTTAATTTGTTGTCATGGTTGTTGCTAATATTGATTCTGTCATGATTACTCTTCTTACTGTTGTCATTATCACAATTAATTAAAATTAAAAAGATGTACAGTCTCTTACTTAATCCTCGCTCTCTCTCTCTATGTATATATGCATATAGATAGATAGATAGATATAGATATAGATATAGATAGATAGATAGATATAGATAGATAGATAGATAGATGTATATACATACACATATATATTGCATATACAGTAGTCCCCTTCTACTAAAAGATTACGAATCAATCTTTATCTTATCGCTTGTGTAAAGCATCGTTTCTTTCATGATAATCTTGTCGTTTGTAAGATCGCTTACCTACACACACACACAATGCTCCGTACTTGCTTCCTCTCTTTTGCTCTTTACCATTTAATCTATCTGTTGCGTTATCTGTACTATTATTGTTATAATTTGTATCCCTCTCTTCCTTCTATCCTCCTCAGGTCCTGCTGTCCTCAGTGTGCCTCTTCGCGGCCGCCGACGAGTCTTACGGAGCGCCCATCCCCATCCTGAAGGACGACCGGACGCAGGACGCCTACGGTGGCTACTCCTTCGACTTCGAGTCCGGCAACGGCATCGTCCGGCAGGAGTCCGGGAAGGAGAGCGACGGACAGGCGAAGGAGGGAGGCTGGAGGTGAGCATCGGGCGCTCGACTCTCCTCGCTCTTCTCTCTTCTTCTCTCTCTCTCTCGTCTCTCTCTCTCTCTCTCTTCTCTCTCATCTCTCTCTCTCTCTCTCTCTCTGCTCTCGCTCTTCTCTCCTCTCTCTCTCTCTAACTCTCTCTCTCTCTCTCACACCACATACACACACACACACACACTCACACACACACCACTACACACACTCACACTCTCCCTCCTCCCTCCCCTCTCTCTGTCTATCTATCTATCTATCTCACAACTCCCCCCCCTCTCTTTCTCTCTCTCTCACACACACACACACACACACACACACACACAACCACATCTTCCACACACACTCCCCTCCCTCGCTCTGTCTCTCTATCTATTTATCTATCTCCCATACTCTCTCTCTCTCTCTCTCTCTCTCTCTCTCTCTCTCTCTCTCTCTCTCTCTCTCTCTCTCTCTCTCTCTCGTCTCTCTCTCTCTCTCTGTCTGTCTATTTGAGAGGTAGAGTGAAGGACAAGTGCAGGAAGGAGGCGGGATGTGTGCCCTGCGGCAAAGAATAGCTTCATCGGTTTGGTGTTACTGGTTAACTTGGCTCTCACATGCTACTCTTTCCTTGAAAATTATTATTACACGTCCAATATTTTGCTTCTGTCTGTTTTATCTTTGTTTGCCATGCCAGTTTACAAAACACAAAATCTTGAAAACTAACGCATCCCCTCCCCCCTCCCCCCAGGTACATCTCCCCCGAGGGCGTCCCCGTCGAGATCGTCTTCGTGGCCGACCAGGGGGGCTACCAGCCCCAGGGGGCGGTCGTCCCCGTGGCTCCCCCTCTTCCTTACCAAAGATCCGGCAATTAACTAAGTAACAGACAGTAGCTAGGGAAATAGGTAAAATGAAAGACGAAACTGCACAAGTATGAAAAGGGAAATGACGAATCCTAAATACTAGAGTTTGATGTCACCACCTGAGTAGGAAACGCATTTTTTCTCGTAACGATTTACTTTTGTTTTCGCCTTCTTTCCTTCTTTTTTTTTTCTGTGGCAGCATTTTTTCTTTCAATCCTACTTTCAAATTACTGCAAAACTGCTAAAAAAAAGAAAAAAAAGATTGCTCCTAACTCCGCAGCCAAACATTTTGTTTTTTTCTGTCCAATATTGGGATACGTTATTCTTAATCAACGTAACTCAAATCTTGTCTAAATTCGTACTTTCACATTGCTTGCCATACCTAAGAATGATCAGCACAAGGACAGTCACCAACGCTTTATTCGTCGCATTTTCACTGCCTAGAATGCTTGCTTTCGTTAAATTAAAATATCTATTCCCTCCTTTATTCATGATTATCAGTTCTAGTCAGCCTTAGTCTCTGCTTACGCCTTCTGTACACTTGCTTTCCTTTGCTTGTATTTCTAGCCATGATTTTACATACCTGATTAATAGGAATGTTCATGCCTATTTTGAGGTTAATATTTTTATGTAATTGTTGTAATGTGATGTTACTCTTCTGTGAAGAAGCAAATTCGAAATTGAAATTGCAGTCGTTGTCTTATGAATAAATTGTTCTATCTGAAAATGTCATTCATTTCCTCAACTTCCTTTTCTTTAATGATGTGTCATTTCCGAGGTTAGAACAGACGCAAAACGTGGACGAAGCAGCTGTTTCTTGCCTTTAGTTCCTTCCCCTTTCCCTATTCCCTCTCTTTCAGCCTCTCCCTTCCTCCCCTTCTCGCCCATAACCACTCTTTCTCTCCCCGTCCTCTCTCATTTCCCTCCCCCACTCTCTCTATTAATCTGTCTTTGAATCTGCAAACAAAATGATGATAAGAAACTATTAAAATCGTAATGAATAGCAGATTGTTATTCTATGCTGTGACACACACACAGACACAGATGCACACAGACACACACACACACACCACACACACACACACACACACACACACACACACACACACACACACACACACACACACACACACACACACACACACACAGGATAAAACATTACGTGCAAGAATGTCACACGAAAAATCGAAAAAAAATGTTGCAGCTCTACAAACACAAGTGACTTAATTCGTTTTTTAATTTATGCAATGACCGAATCAGCAGCAAATATATGAACATTTGATTCCCGTCTTTGAATATGAGAGTTATTACTGATTGCGCAGTTAATGAATTAGAAGGAAAATGAGAAAGTATTTAATTTCCTACCAAAACATGCAAATCTTTATATGAAGTGAATAATTAATTTAACTGCTGGGTATTACAAATTTCAAGCATCAGAAATCCAATATAATACAAAAAAACATTGCACTTTTACCGTTGTGTCATCTAGGTATTTAACAAGAGTGACTGAACGAGTGGAGAAGGAGGGAAGAGGAAGACACGGAGGAGGGAGGAGGGAGGTAAGCATTCGACCCTCGTCTCTCTCGCTTTCTATTTATCGAATTAACTTTATGACTTCCTCTCTCTCTCTCTCTCTCTCTCTCTCTCTCTCTCTCTCTCTCTCTCTCTCTCTCTCTCTCTCTCTCTCTCTCTCTCTCTCTCTCCATCTATCTGTGTCTAACTATCACAGAGCTAGAGAGACCGACAGACAAAGATTTAGAGAGAGAGAGATTGAAAGCAGAAAGAGGATGGAAATAGAAAAAAGAGAAGAAAAAGAAACTGATAAAGGAGAGCGAGAACAAAACAGGAGCTGACGCAAGTAAAAGGATCATACCTTTACCTTTGTCTTTGCCACTGTGTGCGAAGGGCTGATGGAAATGTTTAGATTATGTTATTTAAAAAGTGTGATTTGGCAAAAACGTTACATGGTGAATTGTTGCAGAAGCATGTGTCATTTTCTAGATATATATACCGTCAAATTGTTGAAAACGAGTATGTGTGTATATATATATAATGAATGAATCTGACATTCCGGTGGGCGAAAGCAAGCACCTGCTTTTGAGGGGAGCCGCCGCATAAAAGGACATCTTTCGTCAGAACCGACAGAAGAGAGAGTTGGTAGACATACGAAGACATAGGGTCTAGCTCGTCACCACTCTCCTGGAGCACATAGAGAGACACCGGTCTCTTGGGGGCCCTCACATCTACTTTCCATAATAAATCCACACGCCAACACCACTTTCATTATCCGCTCTAGGTCCATCTCGTGTCACTGATAACTAGGTCACTAACACTGAACTCCAACCCTTTGTCTAATTAGTACGTGACGTTGCAAGTGATATTCTGGACAACAGCGAAGACTTTGTACACATCGGCACTGTTCTGTACATGAACCAATCAGCGGGGCGAGGGGTGATCGTTAACTAAAGTGCGTTTTTTTTTTTTTATCAAATATTGTGATCACAAAAGGTTTTATCGATACTGACAGTACAAAAACAAGATCTCGGTAAATAGGGTTTCTACAACAAACAATAAAAACAAAAAAAATACGATTTTATTTCAAATGGTTATTAAAACACATAATGGAATATCTAACAATAATAAACTTTCTAAAGATATATAATGATTTACATGTTTTAAATATCTTGCTCTGTTAATAATTAGAGAAAGTACGAAGATAAAATATGGACATATAGCTTTGTGATTATAGAACAATCAATCAGTAAATCAGTTTAGACAGTCAATTGAGTTTAAAAAATAATAACAAGATATAGGAAATGGAAGTTCAAGTATTTCACTATACAAAAATATGGAATTTGGAAAAGAAAAGTAATTGAAGACAGTAATTGAGAGATAATGATGAGAAGGAAGGTAAGAATATTGGGAAGAACACGTAGGTGGAGAAAAATAATAGGAAGAGGAGAGCAAAAGGAAGATTAAGGAGATATAATAAAGGAATAAAGTAGAGAAAACAGAAAAAGAAGATAAAGAGACTGACTATAGACAATGTAATGAATGATGTATTGTCTTGGAATATCAGAAATCTGGGAAGATTAAATAAGTATTTTAGAAGGTTTTCGTAGAAATCGAATAAAAGAGGAAAAGTAAAAAAGGAAAAGCTCAGAAATTCTACGACGTTTCGAGAGATTCCAGACTCCTCTTCAGTTGGAAAGAAAAGATATTTCCAGCCTCCGTCCCTTGCTGTCTCTGTTGCATTGTTAATTGCCGGATCTCTGGTAGGGAAGAGGGTGCGCCACGGGGAGGACCGCCCCCTGGGGCCGGTACCCCCTTTGGTCGGCCACGAAGACGATCTCGACGGGGACGCCCTCGGGGGAAGTGTACCTGGGGGAGGAGCAAGGTCAACTACATGAAATGGGTCACTGATTGGGTGACTGTCCTTTGATGCTGTACACTTATGATGCGCACGTGTCAAGTAAAATACATGTCAGAGGGAGAGAGAGAGAATGAAAGAAATAGAAAAAGTGGGAGATAGAGCGACAAAATTAGATAGATAGGTAGGTCAATAAAAAGTTAGATTGGGATAAAGCAGAAGAGAAGAAACCTGATGCTCACCTCCAGCTTCCCTCCTTCGCCTGTCCGTCACTCTCCTTCCCGGACTCCTTCCGGACGATGCTGTTGCCGGACTCGAAGTCGAAGGAGTAGCCGCCGTAGGCGTCCTGCGTCCGGTCGTCATTCAGGATGGGGATGGGCGCCCCGTAGGACTTGTCGGCAGCCGCCAGAAGGGACGCCGAAGACACCAGGACCTGAGTAGGAGAAGGGACCTGTAATGCCCTTGGTCGCGGGAGATTTCCCTGCGAGCGACATAAGACGTTGAAATGTGATGGCGATTAGCACGGTGAGAAGGGAAAATATGTCTATTCTGATCCTTTCTCGCTCTGGCAAAAGCAAAGAGATGAGACAAGCGCAATATTTGTTTAGAGCAACAGCAAACAGTTAATCTCACGGCCTTTTTGAATTGCTCATTATCGACAACTAGTTGTAAAGATAATAGGTAGCAGTAAAGAAAATTAAGTGGAAGATAAAGAGAGGCGAATGAAGGAGAGAGAAATCTCTTGTACTTACCAGGGCTAAACAGACACGGGAGATCATGATGCGGGTTAGGACGAAGCGTAAATGATATTCTTCCCACAATAAACACACGTATATATACCGACGCCCATACACACGCTCGGCATACACACGCTAGACATGTCGCGCCCATATGCCAGACACGCCTCCCTATCTCGTTTTCTCTCTGAGCTGGAAGACTATGATGCAATATCTTGTTTGGCTCTCCGGTCTGCCTGTCAATCTCTCTATTTGTGACTGCTTGCCTGTCTGCCAGTGCTTGCTTGTCTCTTTGCCTGTCTGGCCGTGTGTATGTTTGTTTGTTTGATCTGGAAGAAAGAGAAACAGGGTGAACGAGAGAGTGTGTGTGTGATTGACACCATATTTTTTTCTCTCTCTTAAAGATGAAATCAATTTTAAGCGGCAATTAGACATAGTAATTATATAATCTTAGCATGGAAGATAATAGTAATAATAACGATAACCTGTAATTTCGGTAAACATAGAATATTATATGTAACGCATCGACAAATCTTTTGGACGATGCAATACGAAAATATGAAACGAATGCTATGCAATGTTGTGAATAAATAAATAAATAGTAAATACAGCTGAGGTTATGTTTTTTTTTCTAGTTTTCTTTTATTTATGTTAATCACAAAATTGTTTTATTTCTATCTTTCTTTCTTTCATTCTTTTCTTTGCTTGTATTTTCTAGCCATGATTTTAAGTACCTGTCTAAAAGAAGTATTAATGCCTATTTTGAGGTTATTCTGAGAAATAATTTTGTGTGCATCTCTTGTGTGTCATGTTTCTCTTTTGTGAAAGAGCAAATTCGAAACTGAAAATGCAGTCGTTGTCTGATAAATAAATTGTTCAATCTAAAAATGTCATTCATTTCCTCTATTTATTTTCTTATGAACGTTCTGTCATTTGCGAAGTTTAAACAAACGCAAATCGTGGAGGACGCAGCTGTCTCTTGTCTTTAGTTACGTCTCTTTCTCCCACTCTCTTTCTCATACTTTTTTCTCTCTCTTTTCCCCCCTTTTTTCCATCTTCTCTCTCTCTCTCTCTCTCTCTCTCTCTCTCTCTCTCTCTCTCTCTCTCTCTCTCTCTCTCTCTCTCTCTCTCTCTCTCTCTCTCTCTCTCTCTCTCTCTCTCTCTCTCTCTCTCTCTCTCTCTCTCTCTCTCTCTCTCTCTCTGACAGCTTGAATGAATTTCAACCGCCAGTTAGACATGTAGCATCAACTGACTATGAAAAAGATTAACCTGTAATTTCGTTTTGCCTGAAAAATTACTTATACCGTATTGACAAAGCTTTTGGGCAATACAATATTTAATATAAATTGAATGTCCTGCGATGTTGGAGATAAAGAGGCAGTAAATGGTAAATAAAGAGCTGTTTGTGTTTTACTGGTTTTCTTTTACAAACATATATATATGTATACATTTATACATTCATATATATATAATATATATATATATATATATATATATATATAATATATATATATATATATATATATATATATATATATATATATATGTTATTTCATATTCTTGAAGCATATTCTTTCCTCTCCTTTCCATTCTTTTATATTACTTATTCATATGAATTTAATTGACACATGCTAATGATGTCTGAATGTTTTGTGATTTCCGATAAGTGGTGCATATTGCTTTAAAGGATTAAATTCAAAAATAGGGAAAGAACGTCGGATATAAAGCTATTTTGTTCTTGTGACTTTTTCATCTTCTCTTTGTCAGCTAATCCGATAAAGGCATTTGGTTGCATAATATCAAACACAAATAAATCAATAAAATCAGTGA